TATGGATGGTTTTCGCTAATTGATTTCCGAAAAGTTTGGAGCTTGTTTGCTTCAAGTTTAATGCTCGAATTACCGTATCTTTGCTCGAAGCCTGCAGTACTCAACCAAATACAGTACCCCGAATTTTGGCCCCCATTTAATAATTTTTGCGCTTTACGTCCAATATTTTTTGGGTGTTTATGGGCAATTCACGCCGTATCAGGCCCCCGACGGTCAGTTTATTTTGGCTGCGAGAGCAGTGGGGACAGGTCGCAATCAGATCGTTTCCTTTCTTCTCTCTCTCTCTCTCTCTCTCTCTCTCTCTCTCTCTCTCTCTCTCTCTCTCTCTGCCTTCTGTCAGTACAAATTACGTAATAATGACTCCCCATAGCGCGCGCTCATTAGATAGAGCCACCCGGTTAGGTAATTTTAAAGAAACAAGGAAGATTGGCTTAGGCTTAGGTTTAGGCGGAGGCTTGGGCCTCGCTCAGGCTCCGGGGTTGGGTTTTAAGGTTTTGGGGCGGGCTGGGGTTAAGGGTAGGGTTAGGTTTTGGTTTTATAAATGCTTCGGCTTAGGTTTGGGCCTGGGGTTTTAGGCTTGGGCTTCGGCTTAGGTTTGCTTATGCTTAGGTTTAGGCTTGGGTAAGGTGCTATAATTTTTCACATATTTCTGACTTCACAGCCCCTTTAAAAGCCCCAACCTTCGTCGATTGCCCCCTATTTCGCGCCCTTCAAAAGCCTTGCAAAGGCGCGAACAGCCAGCCACAGCCAGCCGATGAGCCCCCCACCAAGGTCAGCGCAATTTGAATGGCTGCTGCTCGAGCGCCGATTTCGGCCGGGGGACACATTTCGTCAGGCGCCGAATATTTCGATTTGTCTGGTCTGTCGTTCCGCTATCTCTCTCTCTCTCTCTCTCTCTCTCTCTCTCTCCGATTCCAATTTTCGATCGGCCAGCCCTGTCACCTTCTTATGCAAAACATCCGCCCACCTTGCACGGCTGTAAATCGATTTTCGTGGAAAATTTTGCCGGTGGTGTCGGGGTTTAAAGGAGCGTTGAAGGCAACCAGGTTTCCACGGTTTCTCTGTTAGCCTGTCTTTCCCTTGAAATTCTTGGACGATCTTTACTAGCTCGCCTCAACTTAAGGAAATCTTGCGCGGTTGCCCCTGAAGATCTTTGCTCGTAATTCCTACGCGCTATCGGCTTCCCCAATGATCTCTGCTAGATGCCCGACAAAAATTTCCTCAAAAATCTCTGCTAGCTTGCCAGCAGCTCCATAAAAAACCGACACTGAGTTTGAATTTAATTTCTTACGTTGCGAACCCAGGCGTGCGTGCTCGAATCGACATTGGGGTGGGGGGCGAGACCGGTTTTTTTGTGAGGCTAGAGAGATACAGAGAGAGAGAGATACCTCCCTCTCTCCTCCTTTTTCCGCCTCTGTACTGTTGACCATTCGCCTCAGCCATTCGGCGGGTCTGGCTGGCCGTTCTGCCGCCCACACGCACGCCAGGAGAAGATTGTCCCCATTGTCACAATTCCGACCCTCCCATCTATCTTTCTTTATCGTTTTCCATTGGCTAGGAGGGCGGGGGACAGAAAAAACACACACCGACAAACAGCACGGCTGACAAAGCCGAAAACTTGTTCCACGCTTTTTCGGCTTGTCGTTGCGCGCGTCAATTGTAGCGTTGAGCCATCTCGGTCGATGACTGATATTCAACTTTTAATAGTTTTTTTAGATGTTAAAATTGTTTAATTCTATTTTAATCAATGATTTATTCCTTCTTGGAGTTCTTGTAAATTTTTATAGTTATGGTTCGCCAATTCTGATCGAATCGATTATTCTCCGTTTTCTCTCATTTTTTGAAGGGACCACTAAAAAATCTGGCGGTTTTGGAAAGACGCGATTTTCCATGATCTTCATTTTTATACGTTTCAAATGTTTCCAGAGTTTTTAAAGATGTTTTTTCTGCAGTTTTTCTCGCTTTCATCTCTTTAGCAACCTCTTAAAGGCATTCAAATCTTTTTTAAGACGCCTCGAATTCAACGTTGACGAAATTAGCCAGAATTTTTGTCATTGGACCGTAAAAATACAGAACTAGTGTTCAAGAATAAGAGCTTGATAAAGCGACGTGCTTCTTATTTATTTTAAGCTATTCCTGCTCAATTTGATTAACGTTTTCATAGCAACAGTATGGTCAAAATAAATCGCTAGTCACGTTATAGTCTCCCTAAATAGCACCCAAATTCCCCCACTCTACGGCAGTAACCGCGCCATTCCCCAGCGACCACCGATTGATGGTGCTGTTGGCGGGTTGGCCAGGATGGTGGTGGGGGAGGGCTTTGATTTATATGCAAAATAGAGGGCGGGTGGGCCGTTCTGGCTGTTCCGCCGCCGATTTTTTAGGCTATTCTATAGTTTAAGTTTAGTAGATATGCCAGCTTCCTAAAAGCGAGGCCAGTCGCGCGCTCTCCCTCCTTCTCTCTCTCTCTCTCTCTCTCTCTCTCTCTCTCTCTCTCTCTCTTCTCCCTGCCTCTCTCTCTCACTTGCTTTGTGTATCTATCGCTCTCGCTCTTTTGAACTCTCTCTCTAGAATTCACTCGAACTCGACCTCACGAACTCTCCAGAGGCAGACGAGCAACGATTTTTGCGGAAATTCCCAAGCATGCTAGCAGAGGTTTTTGTGGAACCCATAAAACTACCTCTTTTTGATCCATTCCCAGCTTTCCATCCCCTATCTACCTCCAAAATCTCGGAAATCTGGTGGCCCCCGGATTTCGCAAAACACCGGCGGGGTCACCTGGAGGGGGAAAGGAGGGAAATGGAGGGCGTGGCAAATCTGCACGCCGAATCTTCGAATGTCGGAGAGGACCAGTTTTTCGGGTGGTTTTGAAGTTTTTGAGGTATTAGGGGGCTAATTTTTCGTTAGAAACTTGCTTTTGGTTCCCTTGTTATCTCGGTGCAAAATTTTTGCTTGTCCATTGTCTCTTTGCGTACTTTTCGTGCCTGTATCGGTCAAGGGTTTAAAGGGACCTTGCTGAGAGATATAGAGAGAGGGCGAGAGAGTGAGAGAGCGAGATGGAGAGCGACAGAGAGAGAGAGAGAGAAAGAGAGAGGGCGAGAAAGAGCGAGAGAGCTAGAAAAAGCTAGGGAGATGCAGTGAGAAAGACAGAGAGAGAGAGAGCGGGCTAGAAAAAGCTAGAGAGAGACAAGGAGAGAGAGACAGAGAGAGAGAAACAGCGAAAGAGAGCTTGAAAAAGCTAGAAAGCAAGACAGAGAGAGAGAGAGAGAGAGAGAGAGAGAGAGAGCGGGAGTGAGATAGTCGGGATTCCTATTTTTTGGATTTTAGCCTTCCCAGTCCCTTTAAGTTCTGTGTGTCCAGGTGCGAGTGGTTTGGAGTTAGATAGAGGTGGGCCCTCTCCTTTTGGCCCACCGCCCTCCGGTGAGCGCCTTCTAATTGCCCGGGGGAATTGGTTGGAGGGGGCTCTTGTGGCCAGCTTCTTCTTCTTCTCCACCTTCTTCCGTTTGGCTCCAGTGCACAGCCCCCTTCCCGTAAGTACCCCAAAATGACCCTAGCCCGCTGGGTTTTTGGCCCTGCCAGAATACCCCGGCCGGGGTAGATTGGCCCTTGCTAGGGGTGGGTCCTTGTCAAGCACTCCTGGCTTCCGCAACAATACTCATTCCGCCGTTATATTGGGGTTTTTCTGGTAGTACGGTAGCTGCTCCCGAAATCATGTTTTTTCAGCGAATCGTTTGCTTGAAGCTAATTTCGTTATTTTCAAGAAAAACGCTGATTTTCCGCAACAATACTCGTACCGCAGCTATACTGAGGTTTTTCTGGGGGTACGGTCACGTGTTTTGAACTCCGAATTTTGCAATGAATCGTTTGCTGCCTGCTAAATTCGTCAATTTTTCCCGATTTCCCCGATAATATCTGCTAGGGTGCCTCTTCAAATTTATTCAAATTTTTATTTTACCCCAATTATCGTAATTTTGCGAGAACAAAGCTTAATTTAACTTTTTGAAGGGGCCTAGAAGGCAACTTTTCACTTAAATTTTGGTTGTAGCTTGGATCAAAAAATCTGAATTTTGTTATGGGGAAATTGTAAAATCGCTTGAGCCGATTTTAGCCCAAAACAGTCACGTTGATCAAAATTCACAGGCTCGATTTTTCATATAAATATTTTTCTATATATAAAAATCATTAGAACAAAACTGTTTTTAGAATTTTTGATTTTTGAGAAAAGATCGTCTAACTTGCGAAATATAGATTTATTGCTAAAATGGACAGCAGTTTCGGAATCTGCGCAAAAAAGTGGTCTAGGGAGGCAACCTGAGCCCACCCGAAAACCGTTTTTCGTACACTCTCGTACTTCCCACAGCTGCGTGTAATATTTATCCACTATCCACGGCGCTGATGGGCTGAGAGGAAGCGTTCAGCTTTTCATCTCCCCGGCATGCCGCCACAAAACGATCCTCAATAAATCCGGGGGAACGGGCATCTTTTAAGGGGGAAAGAACCCGCGAAATGGATGGTGCTAAAGTTGTGTCTTTGCCATATGCCGTATCCGAGTGCTTCCCAACATCTGTCTCCTCGGATTAAGCTGAGAAACATTTTTTGGGGGTTTTTAGGGCCTGGGAGTGGGAGCTTTCAGTGCGTATTAGCGTCTATTAATGCATAGACATATATCTGATCTGATTTATTATTTGTCTATTATTGTAGAGGTATCTGCAGCTTTTTATGCTAATTAGATTGCGTTTGCTCTGGAGAGGTGACCGATTGAATCATTCTCAGCTTTTAGACGCGTTAATTTCCTTTCTTTAAATATCTCTGTCGCTGTCTCCCTCTCTATTGTCTCGGTCTCTCTCACTCTCTGTCTCTCTCGCTCTCTATCTCTCTCTTTATTTTTGTCTCGCTCTCTTGCTCTCTCTCTCTCATGATTTTACAGTGTCTTTCCAATTTGCGTTTTCTTTTTTGGTCTTTTAACTTTAATGCAAATTTCAAAATTTCCAGACGGGTCAATGATGAAAAAGTTGAAACGACGCCTGTCGGCGGCGTTTCGCGGCAATTCCAACTCCCAATTAAATGTAAGTTTGTTTCAAATTATAAAGAGCCCAAGAACTATAATTTTTCCTAACCCAAAAACCAAAATTCTCTAGATTTCCACGGGTCCAATCATCTCACAGCCGTACCGGACGTGGAGCCTCTCGGACAGCATGAGCCAATTGGCCGACAGGTTCGTATATTTTGGTAGTAAATGACACCTGCTAGCCTCTCCCAATTCCTCAAAGAATCTCTGCTAGACCGCCCCTTCACAATTCCTCAAAGAATTTCTCCTAGCCTGCCCTCGACCAATTCCTCTGGGACCCCTGCTAGCCTGCCCTCTCCCAATTCCTCAGGGGCCCCTGCTAGCAGGCACTCCCCGGATTCCCCAAAGGATCTGCTAGCCTGCCTCTCCCAATTCCCCAAAGAATCTCTGCTTGCCTGCCCTCTCCCAATTCCTCAAAGAATCTCTGCTAGCCTGCCAAATGGTCTCTGCTACCTTGCCCCGGCAGAGAAATTCAGTTTTTACATCCGTTTCAGCCGTTTTCGGCTACCCCTTCTAAAACGTGACCATCTAAAATCCAATTTAATTCCATTAAATATTTTTTCTGTTCCAGACTGGCCGTTGAGGGGATCATTGTGGAGGAAGAGAACGGCGTCCTCCGCCATCCCATCGGAGAGACGAGGTGAGCAACACTCGCAATTTCACTGCACTTAATTTACCCCCAAAAAAAGGAAATTCCGCGGGGCTCAGCTTTGCCCTCCTCTTCCCGAAAATGAAGCACATCGGCTCCGGTTTCGGCTGCCCCCAAATTTTTAGGGCCCACAAAATTCTAAATGGATTGTCTGGTTTTTTACGAAAATTACAAAATTTTGCATAAATTATCTAAAAAAGAATTTTTAAAGGAACACCGCTAGTTTGCCCCTATGCAGCGCCAATATCTAAAGGATCTTTGCTAGTCTGCCCGGCCAATTCAGGTTCCGAAATGGTCTCTGCTAGCGTGCCCTGCTCGAACCAGGAACCGAACCTTTTTACCGGATTACAAAATTTGAATTTATTTAAGACTGAAGATTACATTAGTCCGATTTCATAGCGAAAATGGAAAAAGTGGCTTGATGGAAGAAATTTGATGGTTTTTGTTATTAGCTTTAAAGCCTTCAAAAGTTGTTTTGTTGTTTTCTTGGTATATTTTCAGTGGTTTCAAAGTCGATTATTTTTTCGCCTTTCAGACATCACCGCGCCAAACCCCGGACGCATTCGATGTACTCGTCGCGAGTGTACCACTCCAGCTACTATGGTGACGGTTCGTTTTCAGGTTTTCCTGGTATTAACGTTCCGAACGAAACAATCACGATCAACATAAAACTGTTAATAACCTTAAACCGCCAAGGGTATGGATTTATTTTTTTTTTTTTTTTTTTTTTTGGGGTAAAGCTTTTCGCGGTATGTGATTCCTCCAAGAATCACCGCTAGTTTGCCCTGATTTATTTCCTTTGGGGCCGCTTGATGCATTAATGGGCGCTCAAAGAACCCTACATCTATTACAAAAAATTCCGACAAGCTCCTACTTGCAAAAATTCCGAAAAACCAATCCGTAAGTGCAATTCAAATTTTCGGGATCGCGTGCCGACTAGGGGTGGTCGGATCTTTGGTGTATTCAAAGTTTTTGGTCCACTGGTCGGTGGATGAAGTGGCTTGGAACATCGGGCTTGGGCTAGACTTTGTTCGAGGCGGGAGAGAGCGAGAGAGAGAGAGAGAGAGAGAGAGAGAGAGGGAGGGACCAGAGAAAGTGAAGGATCGGCACCCATCTGCCCCCTCCTCCTCCCCCTCCCACCGGAATGCCAGATGCCGGAAATCTGGCCACTTCCCTCCCTTGGCGGGCATACCAATTGCTCACTAACTTACTCCGCTCAGAACTCCGTTTTTTGAATGTGCCCAAAACATCTGGAAACCTGGGGGGTCAATCACTCTTTGACTGGGTGCATGGGGTTTGGCTAATTTTAGCTCACTTCTGTTATTTATCTCTTTCTCTCTCTCTCTCTCTCTCTCTCTCTCTCTCTCTCTCTCTCTCTCTCTCTCTCTCGCTCTCTCCAGCCCACGCGCCACCATCTGGACCCCTTGACCCCATCGTGGCCGCTCCCTGATTAGCATATTGCTCCCAAAAAATACGCCTTACTTGGTTTTATTCTCCTGAATTTCTGGAATTGAATTCGAAAAACGAGAGAGAGGCACAGACAGAGAGAGAGAGAGAGAGAAAGAGAGAAAGGGAGAAATATGGAGCAGTCTATCAGCCGTGATTTCAGAATTCTTGCCAATTCCAAAGTCTTTTGCCTTCAAAAACAAAAAATTCTACCCATTCATCCTTCTTTTCCACGCATTCTAATATTTTCCGGGGTGGCCACGATCTTCTATATATTGTCGTGGGGAAATGAACTGCATTGTTGACTCATTGCGCCCCCTTATCGAATTGGCTTCTGTCTATTGCCGTTGGTGTGTGTGGCCAGCTCATACCGCTAGCCATCGAAAACATTGGTCTTTTCTTGTAAACTTTTGCATTTGAGGGGTGCATTTTCGTGAAGCTTTTTTGTCTCTCTCGCTCTCTCGCTTACTCTCTCTCTCTCTCTCTCTCGCTCTCTCTCTCTCCTCTCTTCTCCATTTGTCGGAGATGCCAGCCTATTAAGGTCTTCGAGACCTTTTCACCATTTTCTAAGACCAAAATCCCTCTTCCAAAAATCAGCAAATCTTTCAAGACTAGTATTTGGCCCGGGGCATTTCAAAAATAGCCCCCAGGCCACTTGGCAGGCTTCCCGATGGGTGATCATGCCACTGGAAGGGGGGTAGTTGCCCGAAATCCCCCAGAGGATTTGACTCCGGGGGGGGGGCAGCGGGACCAAACTTCTGCAGCGACTTCCTGGGAATGGCGGCTTTTTAGGGTGGAGGGTACTTTAATGGGCTATGGCTATCAGCTTATAGTACTTGGCTTGCTGGGCCTTTGAACTTGGCGAAGTTGACGAAATATACAATGTATAACAATTTTAGTATTTCTTCTCTCTATCTCTCTTGCTCAACCTCGCTCTCTCTTTCTTTGTTTGTTTGTTTCTTTCTTTCTCTCTCACTTTCTCTCCCTCTCTCTCTATCTCTCTCTCTCTCTCTCTCCTCCATTTGTCGGAGATACCAGCCTATAAATTGATGCCAGTCTATTAATATAATCAATTGATAGACGGCTCGATAGTTCTCTATCTAGCTCTCTCTCGCTCTCTCTCAGATCTTTTTCTCGCTCTCTCTATCTCTCTGTCTCTCACACTCTCGCCCTCCCCAGTCAGCGAAAATGTCTTAGCAATTACAGTATTTTTAAATCAAAAGTTTCCTTTCTTAACGCTTTTAATTTCCTTAAATTTTTCAAAAAAACACAGCGACCCAATTTATATAAACCAAACGAGTCACTTACCAACTAGACACATTTCCAGAGGTCATCTGAGGGGTTGAGACATGGTCCCATGGGTCCTTCTCCCCCTGCTACTCCTCCCTCTCCTCCCCTCAGGGCCCCTCCCTTTTATTGATTCGCTGGGGCCCTTGTATGGGCCCTTTCGAGGCCCTGCTCTGCTTTCCCTTTCCCTTCCAACCCACCCACCCACCCGCTATGGCCATGGCATGGCATAGTGGCCATCCAGGGGTCCCCGCCGGCTACTCGCCTCCCGACTCCCATCCACGCCTATTAACACTTGTTGCCCGGCTGGCCGACCTTTTGTGACCTTTTGGCGAGATTTATTCTGGGCTCGATCGTACTTCCTTTTCCACTTAGGCATTTTTCGTATTTTTTGGCGATTTTTCAATCCTGTATTTTTGTCGAAACCTTGCTGAAGGCTTGATTTAAATTCTAGCTACAATCCCGACAGCGAAAATAACGACAGACCGAAATCCCGACATATTTTTGACGCTGATTGGAGTTCCACCTCCTTTTAGACACCTGTTTTGTGTGTCGGCATTTTGGCCGGCTGGCCGGCATCCTGGCTGTCGAGATTTTTGCTGTCGGGATTTCACGTTTCCCCTACTCAATTCTACCCTTCTGCATTTCGAAATCCGTCCCAATTTTGCCGATTTGCCAAAACTTTTTCGAAATTTTTGTCGAAAAACGGCTGTTTGGAAATTGGAATCTGTCGAAACTTATCTATATAAAATAGATGTGGAAAATCGAAATTTCAATTTCAAATTTCTAGTGCGACTTTTTGATGACAGTCGAAATTGGAATTATTTTATTTTTAATGAAATCTGAAAATGCCGACGTCTGCTCGACCCAATTTTTACAAATTTCGAAACGCTTTAATTTTTCGAAAACACCTTTTAATTAAAATTCAATAACTTTTTTCCAGGTACCTTTGCAACTACATTTTTTTGTTCTGGCTAGCTTTTCAACTTTAGAGGTTTTTTTTGAAATATGGATTTGCACAAATTTTGTCGGATCCAAATGATAACTTACGAGTAATTTATTGTCTGAAAAAGTTCTTTTTATTACTTGCAAAATCTAGTTATCTTTTTTATGTCCTGGGAGGAGGTTACGCAATAATTCTGGATGCTAATCAACGGGAAAAAGCGGGACGGCCGCTTCTCACATTCCGAAGTGCCGCTGGGATAGCATAGGATATCCTCAGATATTCTTGTTATTTGAGAGAGGGAGAGAGAGGGAGAGAGAGAGAGAGAGAGAGAGAGAGAGAGAGAGAGAGAGAGAGAGAGAGAGGGAGAGGGGGAGGGAGAGAGAGAAGAAGAGAAAAAGAAAAAAAATATCGTCAGGAATAAGCGCATCAAAAAAAAACGGAATTGACACGCCTCCCCTCCTCCTCCTCTTCCTCCTCCTCCGCGTCGGCTGACAGAACGAACGGGGCGCTCCTAACAACACCCAATTTATTCTGGCACTCTTCCCCCCGCTGTCGTCGGCCGGCCGATTTGTCCTCCTCATGCTCGTTGCTCGCGCTGCGCAGCGTCCATTTCACGCCGCTTTCCAATCAACGTTAAAGGCGCCGCCGGGCGTTTTGTTGCCCATTTCGCGAGACACAGGCTTCAGAATGCTAATTTAAATTCGCTTAAAACTTGGCGGGGGCTTGGCGCTACGAATTTTCCATTCGATTCGGAGTAGCGTATTTTTGCGGAATTACTGTAGGCCTCCTAATTTTAGCAGGTCAGTTTTCATTTTTGCAGGATGTTTTTAATCCTAAGCCTAAGCCTGAACCTCAGCTTAAGCCTAAGCCAATGCCCAAGCCAAGCCTAAGCCTAAGCCTAAGTTTAAGTCCAACCAAATCCTATGAATTTTCAACTTAGCTTCACTCTCGATTACATCTATTTCACGTTTTCACCAATTTCTCCACTTTCCATTCCGTGCCCTCCCCTACCGTACCCCGCACCCAGATGCAAAGATGAGCTCGGCCATCTCAAAATCGGCGACTTTCCACGATTTCGGGGAGGAGCTCGAGGCCCGCGAACGGTCCGAGAGCCCCGGGGACGATGGGGTTGAGCTCCGGAAGGGCGGGAGGTCCGGCTCCTCGTCGCGGCTCTCCTTCTCGGGCTGGTTGGCGCATTTTGTGTCGAAACGGCGGACGCATCAGCAGCGCTCCTTCATCCGGCCCTCCGTTTCATTGTGTGGGTGTGAAGCCGGGGGTTTTAAAGGGACTGAGAAGTCGTTGATATGGATTTTGCCGCATACGCGATACGCAGCGCGACGGCTTGCGTTACATGTCGTAATCTGACGATTTTTCGACCAAAAATTAGAAATTTTCACTTTTTAGAAATTTTTGAAGGTTTTTTCTCCTCAAAATTTTCGTTAAATTTTGCGAAAAACACTATAAAATACTAACTATTACTTTAGTCTGCATTTCTGAACCTTTGCAACCCCCGATAATGCACAAGCACCAAGAATTCTTGAAAAATATTCTAACCACCGAATTTTTCGAACCATTAAATTAGCAGAATCATAAAATGCAATTTTTTTACGTCAGCATCCGAATATCATCATGTTCCGTTCCGAGTATCGTCGCGTAGCCGCCCCAGCGCGGCGGCGCGCTGATCGAATTGGCGCGGGGTCGGCGCACCCCTCTGGCCTAATTGCCGCTAATCTCCCCGAGCCAACGGGGAAAACCCGCCCCCCACGACTTCAAGGGGTTAAGCCGGAAGCCGGGAGATGGCGAAAATTAGCGCCAAAAAATGACGAAAGACATGAAAAATAAAAAATATGAAAAACAAAGTATTTAAAACAAAAAATATAGTAAAATATGGCAACCCGGAATCGTTTTCAACTCGTTAATTTTATTATTATACTTTCAGCGGTCGTGCAAGAGTCGTGCGTGTTGGGCAGCGATGGGGAGAGCGTCGAGGTGTCGCCGTGCACGTCGGATCAGATGCCCGGCTCGGCGCCCCGGTATGTCGTCAACGTCAAGATGAGGCAGAAGCCGGCCAGGAAGTGGAGTGAGGTTGGTATTTTAATCACGATTACCCGATTTAAACGTAAAAATTTCGAATTAAATCTAACTAAAAATTCCGTTGAACTTGCCGAAAATGTCGGAAGCGGAAAACGGCTGCTTTAAAGCTTTTCTGACCCTCTTCGGCGTGTCGGCCCGTTAATAGGCTTGTAAGGTTCTTGGGAAAACAGGAGTATTAACTTTTTGGAAATTTTCAACGGGCTCACTAACATGACCAAGCTCGGTAGAACATCCCTGTAGCCGGCTCCTGACCTCCTTGAACATGTTGGGGCCGGTGGTTGGCATTTAAAGAGACCACCATGGCTAAAAATCAACCAAAAATGACTATTATTCTGAAAGATGGGGTTTTTCGTCAGCTCCCAAGCTCCACATTTCTAATGCTTTTTTTGCCTTCTCGGCGCCTTTAGAAATTTCCTGATTTCCGGTAGATGACCAATTTCCTGCCCTCCCGCCATAACAGGAAATTTTTCCCGTATCCCCTGGATTCCCGCTGACCATGTGGGCAGTGTGGGGCGGGGGGAAGGGGGTTAGGAGGCGGAAGTCCAGTCGGGCCTCCGGGGGCCCTGAAGCTTGAACCAGCGCTGCAAATTGCGTGTCCCCGAACCAGCCATATGCATTCGGAATTTGTCACTCCGGGCCAGGGCCTAACTCGGGGGATTCGGGGGAGGTAAATAAGAAATTGGAATCGAGTGCTAAAGGAAGCGTTACATCCAAATTAGCACAAAAATTAGAATAAATCGGGCCAGTTTTCGAGTTTGGAATATTAAGGAGTTTTCACATTATCGGGGGGGGGTTTATCAGGAAAGAACCCGAATTTATTGTTTAAGTCCAGAAAATGAAAGAAGAAGAAAAGATAGAAAAAAACGAGGAAAACACTAAAAAAAGCCGAAAGCCTTTTTAAGGAAGAAATGTCCAAAATCGGTCATTAAGAGTCGGAATATCCATATTTTTTGTAATTTTTAACAAAACTTTGTAAAGTGTATTTTTTGAAGGAGTGCACCAACATTTCGCAAAGATGATTGATATTTAACAGAGAATTATGCTAATTTTTCCAGGAGGAAATCCAAAAGCGGCTCTCCCTGCCGGCCGACCTGAGATTACCCGTATCGGTGCTCGAGAAGCTGAACAAGACCCCGTTGGACCAGCCGTTGACGCGGAAAAATCGGAGAGCAAGTTTGGTGGGTATTTTTGGGGCGTTCTTTCGGTTTTATGATGGGCGTGGGATAGTGTGTTAGACCTACGTATTACCGTTTTCCCGGCCCCGACAGTACCGTTAGAAACGCTATCATATCGTTTGACGGTTCTAAGTTTTCGATTTTAGAGCGAAATCGGGTTCGGCAAACTAGAAACGTACGAGCGGTTGGAACGACTCGGCGAGGGCACCTACGCCACCGTAATCAAGGGACGAAGCTTGTTGACGAATAAATTTGTCGCATTAAAGGTGGTTTCACTGAGATCGGCCAATAAATATCTTGGATTTAGGAAATTCGGTTAGAGCAAGAGGAGGGCGCACCGTGCACCGCCATCCGAGAAGTCTCCCTGCTGAGGAATTTACGCCATGCTAATGTGGTGAGTTTTGAATTTTTTCAGGAAGAAAATGTAAGCCCGAGCCTAAGCTTAAGCCTATGCCTAAGCCTAAGCTAAGCCAAGCACAAGCCTTGTGTAAAATGACAAATTTTTCGTTAAGTTAATTTTTAAGGTAACCTTGCACGACATCATTCATACGGATCGCCTACTGACGCTGGTATTTGAATACGTGGAACGGGACCTGAAACAGTATATGGACGGCATTAACGATCGATACTGCATGAATTTGAAGAATATTCGGGTAAGGTTGCATTAGGAGAGAGAGAGAGCGAGAGAGAGAGAGAGAGAGAGAGAGAGAGGAGGGGGGGGGGCGAGGACGAGGGAAGGGGGGAGCGAGAAAGAGAGAGAGAGAGAACGAAAGAGAGAGAGAGAGAGAGCAGAGTGAGAGAACAAAAATTAATACCGTACTTTTCAGTTATTCCTATTCCAACTCCTGCGGGGCCTCGCTTACTGTCATGCAAGAAAAGTGTTACACCGAGACTTGAAACCTCAGAATTTGCTGGTGACTGCAAGGTTGGTGGAATTTTATAGGGGACAGTTTGCCGTAGGGGGGGGTAGGTTAAAGAGGTTTAAAAAAAAGTTCGATCGATATTTACAATCCGATTCTAGGGGCGAGTTGAAGCTGGCCGACTTCGGGCTGGCTCGGGCAAAGAGCGTCCCGACAAAAACGTACTCGAACGAGGTGGTGACGCTGTGGTATCGACCGCCGGATGTGTTGTTAGGTGGGTTTGAGGTCGAATTCCGACTCATTGAAGCCCCCCTCGACTTAGCAAGTCCCTAAGCCTTAGAAAGCTTAAGCTTGTCCTCATAATTTTCTAAGAATGCTTTCAGGCTCAACCGACTACTCGACGCACATCGACATGTGGGGCGTTGGCTGTATTCTCTACGAAATGGCCAAAATGCGACCGCTTTTCACGTCGGTCTCCCGGGACGAGCAGCTGAGCTTCATCTTCAGGTACGTGAGCTTCTACTTTAATACGTCAGCTTAAAAATAGCGGCGTAACAATACGTTGCCGAAAATAAACTTACGTACCGTAATACCGTAATATACCGTAATACCGTAACGTAATACGCCAAAAAATACCGTAATACCACAATGCTGATAGTTCCGACCAACCATAGAATGCCGGATAAAAAACTTTGCAACCGCGCTTAATCCTACCGTATCCTCTCTGCGAGGCGCGGAGCATAAAATAAAAACCAGCACTCCAATTATCCCCTCCAAACGTCTATTTTCAGAACGCTCGGCAGCCCGGAGCCGGATCGCCATCCCACCATCTGCAAATCCCCGGATTACGGCACTTTTGCCCGGCAGTGGTGGGTCCCAGGAAGAGATTTTATTTTTTGAAGGGACCGGAAAGGCTGGATTCTAACGAAATATTCAGGCTTTAAACAACACAGTTAATTTTTTTCGAAATATTCTGACTTTATGAAACGATTTTTTTTTTGCAGCTATGACGACATGGCGAACGGGGGCAGCAAGCGGAGACTCGAATACATGTGCCGAGAGTTTGACAAACGGCTATTCGATTTGTTGAGGAGATTTTTGCAGGTAGGTGCCAGAACTAACCCTTTTATGCCTTCCATTAATTTATACTTGCCATTACATGCATACCGTAGTCCATTACAGTACGAGGGTCGCGACAGGATGTCCGCCCAAGAAGCGATCGACCACCCCTTCATCCGCACCCTACCACCGGCCGTTTTTCTGCTAAAGGTGTGTTTCGTACTTTCGTGCTACGTATTAGGTTTTATCTCTCACTCTCTCTCTCTCTATCTATCTATCTCACGCTATCTCTCGCTCTCTCTCTCCTCTCTCTCTCTCTTTCTCTCTCTCTCTATCTATCTCTCGCTCTCTCCCTCCCTATCTATTTCTCTAGCTCTCTTTTTCTCTCTCTCTCCCTCTCTCTGCTCTCTCTTTTCTCTCTCCTCTCTCTCCCTCTCTCCCTCTCTCTCTCTCTCTCTCCGCCATATCTCTCTTCCTTTAAAAGGAGTACTGTAAACTTTCTTACAGTAACCCAACATTACAAATTTCAGGACGACGAGTCGGTGCTCACCGTACCAGGGGTGAAGCTGGAGTACGAGCGGTCGGATGACGTGCGAATAAGTACGTTACCCGCTGAGGTGAACGCTTTTGATGTCGTTTTTGTGGTCGTGAAATGTCGATAGGTGTAGTGCGTAGTATTGACGAGGCTTTCGTGTCGCGGTGTCAACATTTAAGCCTTTGTTAGATCATTAGATTTTAGATTTTTTTTTCGAAAGCATGCTAAAAAACTTTTTAAAAAAACAAAAAAAAGGGAAAATAAAAAAAATTTTTATATTTTAAAAAAAAAAAATAAAAAAAAAAAAAGAAGCGGGAAGCTAGCAAAAAAATTTAAAATAAAAAAAAAAGTTAGGCTAGTAAAAAAAGTTTTTAAATAAATAAATTAAAAAAAAAAAGAAAAGCTTCTTAAAAAAAAAAAAAAAAATAAAAAAAAAAAAAAAAATTTTTTTGAAAAAAAAAAAAAAAAAAGGAGGGAGGAAAAAAATTTTTTAAAAAAAAAAAAGGGAGGGGAGGGGAGAAAAAAAAATATTTTTAAAAATAAAAAAAGAGAAGAATAGTAGATTTTAATTTTATTATAGTAATAATGGAAGAGAGGAGTGTATTTTTTTTTTTATGTAATTACGATTAATGCAGAGACCGCATAGAAATTATAATGGCTTTAAAAGGCATGCTTTTTGACGCTACTATTGAAATAAAATTTAAGTCAAACCAATCCATAATAACCCGTTTCTTTCAGCGAGCCTACATGCGGAAATGAAGGCCCCGAGCTACCGTAAGACGAGCGACGGCGGAGTCGGGGAGGTGGAGCGCCTCGTAGCCGCTGCCCCGCGCCCGATCACGCACAGCGATCGCCTGTAGAATTGTTAAAGTACCCTCATCAACCCGTGCCGCAACCAATTACCCTTTCCAAAGTGATTCGAATCCGGTATTCAGTTCTTTCCCTCGGCCGAACGTCTGCGGCGTCCCCGTCGAAATATGCTAATTTTTGTGTACGCACCAGATATTGCGAAATTTGGGCGGTTTTTAAAGGGGCTGGAAAGCTAGGAAAATTGAAAGCTCGTTGATAGAAAAATTTGGAAAATTTATACAGGAAATAGAATTTCTAATTTTTTTTTTGAGGCCAGCTAGCAGCTACCTTCGAGGAGAGCTAGCCGAGACCATTGTGGAGAGCTAGCAGAGACCCTGGGGATAAAAATCAGCCCCTCTAAAAGCAGCCCCAGCCTCGTTAATTTATTTATTGCCCCCAAATTCCGGCGCCACGAAATCCCCCCGATATCTGTGATTTTCCCCGATGGCAAACGCGTTGTGAATCTTAAAAATTTTTTACACCATTTGTGACGTTTAGGCATAAGCCGAAGCCTAAGCCGAAGCCTAAGCCGAAGCCTAAGCCGAAGCCTAAGCCGAAGCCTAAGCCGAAGCCTAAGCCGAAGCCTAAGCCGAAGCCTAAGCCTAAGCCTAAGCCTAAGCCTAAGCCGAAACCTAAGCCTAAGCCGAAGCCGAAGCCTAAGCCTAAGCCTAAGCCTAAGCCGAAGCCTAAGCCTAAGCCGAAACCTAAGCCGAAGCCTAAGCCTAAGCCCAAGCCCAAACCCCGCCCCCAGTTCTGGCCCCCTTGCCAATTCCCCCTAAAAAACCCCAATTTGTATCCACCCCCCGCGTGTGCTACCGTATCCAAAAAGGGTCCCACCATATTGCTGAACACACATCCAAAAATATAGAAGATACAAAAATCGTTTTTTAGAATATCCCGCTCGCTAGGCAATCGCATCTCACATGTATTCCTCCCGAAATCCCCGAAACGCTCCAGAGTACGAGATCCCCGATCTAATTATTCGATGGTCTTTTTAGTGTTCTTTTTGATGTTCGTACCCTATCTAGCCGATTTTTCAATTTTCCGGCATTGCATTGCGATATAAATGGATATTTTATTATGGAGCTTGGAAAGCATGAAAAACGTACTAGTGGGAGAGAGAGACAGCCAGCGCCAAAGCGCGCGAGAGAGAGCGAAGTGAGAGAGCGAGAGAGAGAGAGACAAAGAGATAGTGAGTGAGCGAGAGAACCAGAGCGATCGAAAGAGACTGAGATTCTGATTGAGAGATTGATTGAGATTGAGAATCAGAGTGAGAAGGAGCGAGAGAGAGAGAGAGAGAGAGAGAGAGAGAGAGAGAGAGAGAGAGATAACTGGACGGGGAAACGAGCGCGACAGAGAGCATGAGCGAGAGAGATAGACAGACAGCAAGAGAGTGTGTGAGAGAGAGCGTGACAGAGAGGAGAGAGAGAGAACGAGAGAGAGAAGAGACAAAGCCAGTGAGAGAAAGAGAGATAGAGAGAGAGCGAACTTTCAGTTAAAAACAAACACCATTCCACAAAACTCATTTATTCAAGCACCACCACCCCATCTCCAAGCGGACAATCGAAATACGGTATCCCCTCAAAGCCCTATGAAGTCTCGAGGTAGTCATAGTTTCGGATGAGATCATCGATGAGGGCCGCGTGGCGATCCCCGTATTCGAGGGCGTGCAGGATCGGCTCGAGGGCGGTCAGGTAGGATTGGCCGATGTCGGGCAGCTTCTCCTCGCCGCGGGCCGCCTCGCACAGCTGCGAGCCCTTCTCGCCTGAAAAATGGAGGGGTTTCCACAAGGGTCTCTGCTAGCTACATGGCTTGGCTTTGTAAAAGGAAAGTGTAAAGAGTCTTTAAAGGAAGCATGACAGGAAGCGATGGCCTTTCCCCAAGGATCTCTGCTAGTACCCCCTGACTTAGTTTCTTTAAAGGGAGAATGACAAGCACTTTCTAGCCCCTCAAGTATCTCTACTAGGCATCCTTTTAACGGGACCGTCACAGCAACTAGCTAGCCTTCCTCAAAAATCTCTGCTGTGTTCCCCAGTTTTAAAGGGACAGTGACAGCAGCCCGTCACACGCGATGCAAGCTAGCAGATACCCTTTGTCCCTCCCCAGCGACCCACCCTGGTACATATGAATCTCCTTGGCCTTGTAGGCCTCGTAGCGCATCGGGCCGAGCTTGGTGGCCGTCATCTGGTAGATGAGCGCCGGGTTGAACTTGGCCTGCTCGGGGTCGTAGGTGTTGCGGTGGGCGGCATCGCGGCAGTAGCACATCGACCCGTACCCCTGGTCGTCCTTGCTCACCTTCTACAAAGCGGGTGTTTCAAAATTGATCATGTCGAAATTCGAAAGTCGAAATGTCGGTATTTTTCAAAAAAATCGGCAACACTGACGGCGATGAGGTCCGGGGTGTCGACGGTGCTCTGGCGTGGAGAGACCACCTTCGCTGTGTTCAGGTCAGTGTCGGAGGGCTGGGGCTGGGGGCCTGGAAAGTGGGGTTGAGAGATGGGTGGCAGAGGTTAAAAGCGATGAAAAAATGAGCTAGCAGAGACCATTGAGGAGAGCTAGCAGAGGCCATTGAGGAGGGCTAGCCAAGACAATTGAGTAAAGGCTGAATTCGACAAGCTAGCAAAGATCCTTTAAACTCCTCACCACTGCCGCAGGTTCCGGAGCCGCAGGAGCAACAGGTGCAACAGGTGCAGCTGGAGCAGGAACTTCAGCAACCACGGGGGCTGGCGGTTCGGCGGCGGCCGGCTGCTTCGGCGGTTCCGGGGTAGGGGCCGGAGGAGGGGGAGCCGCTTCTTTCGGTGGCTCCGGAGCGGCAGGAACGGCGGCGGCGGGAGGGGCAGGTTCTTTCGGGGGCTCCGGCGCTGCAACGACCTGTGCATAGGTGGCGGGCTCGGCCGGCTTCTCCTTCTCCGGGGCGGCGGCTGGGGCTGTAGATGATCAACTTTGGCAAGTTGGGAGACACAATTTACCTGGTTGAGGATCAGCAGCAGGAGCAGGAGCGGGAGCAGGGGCGGGAGCAGGATCGGCTGGCGGCTCGTGGGCGACGACCTGGGCATAGGTGGGCTTGTCCTGGGTGGCTTCCGGAGCAGGGGCGGGAACAGTGGCAGGGGCTGGAGTTGGTTCTGCAGCTGGAGCTGGAGCTGGAGGTGCGGCTGCGGCGAGCTTCTCCGCGATCTAAGGCAATTTTGATAGAAGATTTCGTGTGGCTTACCTGCTCCTTCGACGCGAGGGCCCTCTTCTTCTCCGGGGTCAGCGGGGCACGGACCTTCCGCTTCGAATCCTTGCTTTTCTGAACGGGCTGGGAGAGGTAATGGTAAGGGATGCGGTAGATACCTTTTTGGAGGGTTTCGAGGTGCTGTGCTTGGTGGACTTGCTCTTTTTGTCCTTTTTCTGAAAAAGTAGTAGTACTGATATAGCTCGATTTAACTTTTTTGCTTGAACTGCTTGAAGACGTCGAAAACGCGGCAAATTCTTCAAAAAGCTTTGCTAGCCAATCCCCTTTCGATTTAAGCCGAACTGCTTGAAGACGTCGAAGAATGGCAAACTTCCTTAAGAAGCTTTGCTAGTCCTTCGCCTCATCAATTTTCGACGGACTGGTTGAAGACGTCGAAAAACGGAAACAGTTTCCCCATGAAGCTTTGCTAGCCATCCCCTTATCGATTTTTGCCGAACTGCTTGAAGACGTCGAAAACATGGCCAGCTTCCTCAAGAAGTTCTCCTGGCCCTCGATTCCCGAATGATCCTTGCTAGTCACCTTCTTGGTGCTGGCGGTGGTGGTGGGTCGACGATTCGGGGGTGCGCCACCAGCCGCCGGTCCCATGTAGAAGTACCACCAGATGACGGCGGCCAGCCCGGCAACCAGCACGACATGCTGCAGACTTGGGTAACTAAACCGGGCCCTATCATCGGTGGGGTACGGTAGAGCGGGGCTGGGTTTTAGCCAGAAAAATTGGCGTAAAATTCCAAACGTACCCCATTGCAAAAAAGGGAATTCGGTAGAAAATGTGTGTACGTGTGGAAGGAGGGGAGATATGGAAAAAGGGAACGAATGTTTTTTTAGAGAAAAGATTTTTATACTCGAAAAAATATGCAAAATTGGGCAAACTTCCGAATTCAAATTTTGAAAAAGCAAATTTTTAGATGCTGATTGATGCAAATTAGATCAAGCGCGGCTAAAAAAGTTTTTTACCCCGGCGCCATCCCCCCCCCGATAATGCAAAAGTACCCAAATTGCCTCAAATCATTGCAGAATTTCTTTCCAGGAAATTCTCACATTCTCGATGCCCCCGGAAAATAATTGGAAACAGGTGACGCAAACGGGGCCGCAGCCAAGGGCTTCCCCTCTGCCCGGGTGTAAAATTTGCATACGCCCTCATTTGCATCCGGGCGAGTAGGAGAAGGAGGAGGAGGAGGAGGCGGAGGCAGGAGCTCAGGTGACGGCATGTTGCTAAAGACTTGCTGTATTTCAGGTGGAGTTTCGGGGTTGTTAAGCTTCGGCTTAGGCTCAGGCTTCGGCCTTGGCTTCGGCTTAGGCTTAGGCTTAAGTCTTAGCTTCGGCTGAGGATTCGGCTTAGGCTCAAATTTTGGGTTCAGGCTTAGGCTCAGGCGTCTGCTAAGGCTTCGACTTCAGATTCGGCTTAGGCTTAGACTTAAACTTGGGCTTAGGCTTGGGCGTATGCTTCGGATTCGGCTTAAGCTTAGGCTTTGGATTCGGCTTGGGCTTAGGTTTAGGCTTAGTCTAAGTCAGGCTCACCATTTGTAGGAACTCCAAACTCCAGCTCTCAAACTTGGAGCACCAGTTCCCAGCTCCTAATGAGAAATTTCAAATTACCAACAAAACCGATGACGAATCCCGGAAACAATTTCAAAACCCCCGTGATTTCCGGCCGAGAATAGCCCCGTTGGTTTCGATGCGCCCGATCGTATCCGTTTTGGGTGCACTGTTTCTCAGGATCGTATCCTCCCCGCGCGAATTCCATTCGATATTATGTGCGAATTTATGGTGGCCCGGGCCCGAAACGACGGCACGCACACACGCATTTCAGAACGGATACCGGGCGAGGGGGCTGACTAAACGGAGGATGGGAACGGAATTTCGTCTCGAATCTTTACCGATATTTCGTTCCTTCCGTTTTTATCTATGCCGTATTACAAGATTTTTGCCTCTGTATTTTTGCGTGCAGGATATTATTTTAAGCATTTTATTCTCTTTGTTTTGTAGCAGTTTCTATCATTTTTTGCCGATAAAATAAGCTGGAAGGCAGGCTAGCAGTGATTCTCAAGCAGCTTGTTACGCCTGCGAAGTCGAAGACGAGCTAGCAAAGATCCTTGAGGAAACTGTCTGTCTCTCCCTCTCACTCCCTGTCGCTCTTACTTCTTCCGTCAACCTGGCTAGAACCGAAAGGTAAGCTAGCAAATTTCCTTGAGAAAATTTGTCTTGCGGCACCAATCTATGGCTATCGAGCAGAGCTCGTCAAGGAATTGGCTCTCCTGGCAAAGCACAGAGGAGGTAGCAGAGATCCTCGAGGAAACTGATCTTCTCTCTCACTCTCGCTCTCTCTCGCTCTCTCTCTTTCGCTTCTCTCACTCTCCCGCTAGCTCTCTCTCAATCTCTCTATCGCTCTCTCTCACTCTCTCTTGTTTCGAATTTTTTAGAGTCCCGGTCAGGGTTGGTCACAAAGGATCCGGTCCGCGGACGGTCCGCGGTCCGGTCCGGTCCGGATCGGTCCGAGTGGATCCGAGAATTTCGGACCGGACCGGACCGGACCGGATCGGACCGGACCGGTCCGGTCCGGTCCGTTCTGAACACGAAGGATGGAAATTTCGGTTGGAAATTTCGGACCGGACCGGACCGGACCGACCCCCGGACCGGACCGGATCCGATTAGGATCCAGCGTGACCAACCCTGGTCCCGGTAGATTTAGGTCTCGCTGGTCCCTTAGGCTAGGCCTTAAGCTGGAATGAGCCAAGCGGCAGGCATAATTCTACTCATAATGACGAATTTTATCTCAGATACCCTCCCCTTTCAAAACAAGTTGTTATTTCGTTTGAGGTATACGATAAGCGGTGCCTAAACGACCCCAAGACGGTATCGGAAAATGACGATCCCCGCCGCCGGTTTTTGTCAATAAACAGCTTACACTCTGTGTGGGTCAGATGCGTGTTCGAAAATATCGGTCGGCGAGTTCGGTGAAAGCAGCAAAAAGCGGAAATGTAAATAGGGGCGGATGGGGGGCGGATGGCATGAAATATACACGCACTAACATCGCCCACCTGCTCAAATAGGGGCCGCTCGAGTTTTTGGTGGAGTCTGGGTACTTCATTTCGTTGGCAGTTTGATGCTTATGGCCATCGATAATCCTTAAAGTTCTCTGCTAGCTTGCCCTACTCTTGGAATTCAGCTAAGGCTTAACATTCCCCAATGGCCTCTGCTAGCCTGCCTTTATTTTCGTTCATCCAAGTCCCTAATTAGGCTTAGATTTTCCTTAAAAATCACTGTTACTCCGCCTTGTTCTTTCGATCTAGCTGAATCTAGGATTTCCTAAATTACTTCTGCTAGCTTGCCCTCCACAACACCTTGGCCTGACCGATGCTTTCCTCAAGGATCTTTGCTAGCCTGTCAGCTGTCGAATAAAATTGTAATATTGCCATTTCCCGAATAATTTCTGCTAGCTTACCCTGTTTTTCCAGGCGCCGTACTTGTTAGTAGTAGGGCAAACTAGCAGAGATCCTCAAGGAAATCCCTTTTAATAAGGCAAACTAGCAGAGATCCTTTAGGAAGCCCCTTTTAGGAGGCAAACTAGCAGAGATATTTAAGGAAATCTCCCTTTATTATGGCTAGCTAGCAGAGAACCTTCAGGAAATCCCCCTTAATAGGGCAAGCCAGCATGATCCTTTAGGAAATCCCTTTAAAAAGGCTAGCTAGCAAAGATCCTTTAGGAAAACGCATTTAAGGATGCAAGCTAGCAAAAGGTCCTTAAGGAAATCTCCTTTAATAAGGCAAGCTAGCTGAGATCCTTGATAAAATCGAGCTTAATAAACCAAGCTCCCTATCATTCCAGAACACAACTCCGTACGCATGCCTTTTCCGGCCCCCGAAAAACCCCAAAAAAACGGTCTATTTGCTACGAGTCCGCTCGATCACCCCGAGAACCATCGAGGAAATCGAGAAGCGACCGCTTCTCGATGTTTTCCGCGACGATCCACGATTACAGCTCTATTTACACGGTCCCTCGTCGGCTACCGTAATCCCTAATTGGCGGACAGGGGCTAGGGGCCAACAGTCAATTTGTGAACTGACCTCCCCTTGCCTGCGATTTGGCCGTAAATAGTAGCTTAGCGTTCCCGGGGGAGTGGCTACATGAAAAGCCGATTTTAGTGGCATGCCGGACAGCCTGGGTTTTCAATTTTGGTCCCTTAAATTTTAAACTTGAAATTAAAATCATAGCACTTTTAAATATTATCATATTTCTGCGAAGATTAATATATTGAAATGTGAATATAAAACCCCAGACAGCGTTTAAATATGGTTATTTAATATTTTTATTATTTTACGATTTTTTGGACAATATTATTGACTATTTTAGGCATAAAATTAACCTTTTTTTACAAAAAAAATCAATTCAGGAATAGGTCGATCCGATGGATGGCTAAGTGGTAGTGCACTAGCCTATCAGTCTCATGGCCCGGGTTCAAGTCCCGCCCGGCGCAGAATTTTTTGCTTTTGGCACCCAAGTCTTTAAGCGGTTTTTGGAAGCGATTCACGGTCTTGAGAGCTTTGAAAGTTACGCGACTGGCCAGTTTCCGAACCCTTTGCCCCGACCGGCAGCCATTATGGCGCGCTAAACGGCGCCCAGATAATTCTTCCATTCCGAGACGGCTGCTTCGATTTCTGTTCCTTGCCCTTCTTACCGTAGCCCTTAAAACAGATAATATTTTGCCATTTTTTGCCTATCTGTTTTTACTTTTTTCTATCATATTTTTGGGCGCTTTTAATCCGATGCGTCAAGCTAAACATCACCTCTTTGATATTTGTTGGGTGGGCGAATATTTGCTCTGCCTTATTTGCATACTGAAATGGGGAATTTTCGCTATTTTTTTGAAAAAAAAAAATAGTTTAGGTTCATTTACCTAAGCACGGGAGCGATGTAATTTAAGAAGTTCAACTGGTTTGACTGGACCAAGTAAAATTATTGGATTTAAAAATTTTTCCAATTTACATCATCAACAGTAATCATTGAATGGATTTTATAAAAGGAAATCCCTGAATATTCTGGCTTGATAAATAAGGGAAAATTTATGTTAATTAACTTGAGCCGGTCTTCGAGCACGTTAAAGGACCTAGAACGCGCAGAAATCGAAGTTTTCGAGCAGCTAGGTCTCGACAGCTACGGAATACTGCAACAAACGTTTGCGAAATTATTTTGATTTGCGGCAACGAAATCACATCTCTGGATACTGTCTATTACATCGCCTAGCTGCTGGGTTGGATTCTTGGCGCTTCCCAGTGCCTTTAAAAGCATCAATTTGGACTTTAAGTTGTTTAATTGGCTGAGAACTTTTGGATCCTAATTTTAAAGTTACAAGTCGTAGTTTATTTCGTAAATCGATTCCGAAAACATTTACAAATCCTTGAACCGAACGATTGACGTCCCAAATCCCCCGCCGCCCGCCCCCTTTTCCGCACATACCACCACTGATCCCAGCGATTTTTGAATTTTCAATAGACCTGGGCAGGCGGTTTCGCCGATTCGATTTTCGGTTCCATTTCCTTCACGCGTTTTCCTTTTCTTCCTTTATATTCCGTTTTTTAGATTTTTACATTCCACTGAAAATGTTGCGTGAAGCTCTGCTCGCCCTGCTCGCCGTCGTCGCCATTCAATTAGTCGGTCAGTAATTCAAGGATGAAGCCTAAGCCTAATCCTAAGGCCCCCAAGCCTAAGCCTAAGCCTAAGCAGAAGCCTAACCTGACCTTTCG